AAGATGTCCTAACCACATGTACTCTAGCACAGTCAGAAGCCTAAACCAAATCCCACAAAAAATATAGCCAATAAATAGCTTGAGAACAAGCTTCATTTCAAGCTGAACATGTGACCCCTACAGAAAGGTAAATTTCATAACAGGGCAAAAACAAAGCCACATCCGCTGCATATTAGGCACAGAAGAACTTAATACACATACATATATGGAGCTGAGTGCATGCACACAGATGCTGAACAGTGAGTTATACCCACAATAGAGGCATAGAGAGGAGATTTAGATTAGATGTCAGGTGGAAATTTTTCACTCAGAGGACAGTGAGGCCCTGGTGCAGGCTGCCTGGAGAAGATGTGGACACTCCATTCCTGGAGCAAGGTTGAATGGGGCCCTGGGCAGCCTGATCTGGTGCCTGATTTAGTGGTTGTCAACTGTGCTTACTGCAGCGGGGTTGGAATCATAGAATGTCCTGGGTTGGAAGAGAGTTCAAAGATCCAAGCTGATTTTTGGAGATCCTCGAGGAGGAAACCCCTCAAAGGAGGGAGACTCAATAAAAGGAAGAATAGGTTCTGCTTCTTTGTGCAGTTAAAGCTCAATTTTTACTTATTTATTTATTTATTTTTGTTTCAGCATCTTCTATTTCCATTTGCCTACATCCCCAGTCCAGTTTGAGGAGATATTTAGCCTTTCTTACTGCAGTCAGAAGTCCCTGGCATCCACTGCATCAAAGCTCTAGTGGGCTGATAGTCAGGTGTGTGTGACTGTGTCAGTGGGATGCTAGGATCATTCCCCTAGTAAGAAGAGACTTATGTCAACCTAAAAAAACCCCAAATTAGTCACTATATAAACAAATGAATATTTGTCTAGCTATCTATCAATCAAAAGATTAAATTATCTATATATGACTAATGACATACATGTAGATGACCCTGTTCATTTTAAGGGTGTTGGACAAGATGAACTTTAAAAGTCTAATAATGATTCTATGGTGGGGTGTGGTCACCACACTGGAGGAATGAGATGCCATCTAGAGGGATCTAGACAGGCTTGAGCAGTAGGCCAAGGAGAACCTCATGAGGTTCAACAAATTCAAGTGCAGGGTCTTGCACCTGGGTCAAGGTAACATCCACTACCAATACAAGCTGGGAATGAAAGGACTGAGTACAGCCCTACTGAAAAGGACCTGGGGTTACTGGTGGGTGGGAAGCTGGACATGAGCTAGCAATGTGTCTTCACAGTTCAGAAAGCCAACAGTATCCCGGACTGCAACAGAAGATGCATGACCAGCAGGTCAAAGGAGGTGATCTTGTCCCTCTACTCTGGACTGGTAGGGCCTCACCTGGAGTACTGCATCTAAATGCGGAGTCCTCAGTACAGGAGAGATATAGACCTGTTGGAATGCATCCAGAGGAGGGCCACAAAAATGATCCAAGGGATGGAACACCTCTCCTATGAGGACAGACTGAGAGAGCTGGAGCTATTCATCCTGGAGAAGAGAAGGCTCCAAAGTGACCTGGTAGCAGCCATCTAAAGGAGAACTACAGAAAAGAAGGGGATGGACTCTTTAGCAGGGTCTGTTCTGACAGGACAAGGGAAAATGTTTTCAAGCTCAAAGAGGTTAGATTTAGGTTGGATATAAGGAAAAGGTCTTTTACAGTAAGAGTGGTGAGGCACTGGCACAGGCTGCCCAGAGATGTGGTGGATACCCCATCCATGGAGACTTTCAAGGTGAGGCTGGATCAGACCCTGGGCAACCTGATCCAGCTGTGATGTCCCTGTTCATTGCAGGGGAGTTGGACTAGATGACCTTAAAATGTTCCTTCCAACTCTAAGGATTCTATGGTTCTATATATAATGATATTAAAAATGCTCCAAATTGGAGGTGTGCTTGTTCATAAGGTACTTCAAAACAATTTCTTTCTGGCACTTTGTAGCCTTGTGAAGATTAGCCCTGACTTGGCACCCATGATAGTATTGCTCAAGTCTCTCAAGCTGAATTAATTAAAAAGTCATGCTCCAGAAATTTTAATGATAAAAGTATTAACACTGCACCAAGCATCACAGTGGAAAGACTGATGGACCATACTGCTAAATTAAACAAAAGTGGAATAGATAAAGAAAAATGATCAAAAAGGTGGAATATTCCTAATTGCTATGGGAAAGACTTTTGGTTTAGAAAAGCAAGGGCTTGGCACTCAGCACCTTTTGAAAGCTTCATTAGACAGCTTGCACCCACAAACCATTTTCAGAAGTTCTGCCCACAACTTCAACAGCTGAACAGATGAACCGTGGTGAGAATCTCCCTGCACAAGAAGCTCTGCTTGCTCTGGGAAAGCACCTTTCAAAGTGCATTCTGCTGCTTCTGTCTTCTTCAGCACATGTAAGGGAAACCAATCAAAGCTAACACCAGTAACGAACTTCATATAAACATGATATCGACAACGTTCAGCTTATCTGTGAAAGTCCATGCTGCTCTGTGTGGGTGAGTGCCCTGAGCAAAGTATCTCTATCTTTGAGTAAATTCAGAAGTACAAAACTGCTTCCAGCTCGTTCTTGCAAGAGTATCTTAGCAAACAGCTTAGCCACAAAACATTTCCCTTATTGTGATATCTATCAACTGTGCAATTCACAGAAATCCCTGGATTTCAAGGGGGGAATGTAGCAGACAGCTTGTTAAATGCAAGTTACTGAAACGGGAAATTATATATATATTTTACTACCCCTCACCAATACAGTGTGCAACTGAATACACACACCATCAAGTTCACTGGAGGTATGGAAAAACTCACAGTTCTGGAGTTAATCATTAATACTGTGGGGTTACATGGAGGTACTTTTAAGATTGCCACAGCATGTGGGAAACTCCCATGTGCATTCCCTGCAGGTTTTTAAGAAATAGCCTTTTCTATTTGGCTCATATTCTTTTGTAATTGTTTACATAAATTGAATATGAAGTATCAAGGTCAGATATTTTCCAGAAAGCCAAGGAAAACTATTTGCTGCTCTGCTGCTTGAGAAAACACCAGAACAATTCCAGTATTAGCCAGTTTCCTTTTCTTCCTCTTGCTTCGTGTGGTACTACACTGCACAAAACAAAAAAACTCCACTCTCTTAAAAGACTGCAATCTGTCAGATGCAGAAATCCCAAACCAAGAGAGGTAGCAATAACTTTAACCTCACATACTCAAAGCAAAGCTATATGCCTTCATTTTATTTTCCAGATACCCAGCGCAAGCTGCAGTGTCAGCCCAGTTCCCAGCTCTGGGAAAAAATTACATGAATGTTGCTGAAGTCAATTATAATTGTTTGTTTTGAAGGGAGCCCTATCTCCCAGATAACGTTGCTGTTGGAGAGGATAGCCAACAACAACCCTGACACAAAGGGAGTCACATCATACTGGAGCCATCCCTTCCTCTCCCTCCCGGTTTCTCAAGGAAACTCTGGGTTTTCCCCTTGGTTATCTCAGTGGGAGTTCTGAATCTGACTAGTTGGGAAATCTATCTATTTTGACACACAAAACACTTACTGATTTCCTAGATGAATTATAATGTTAATGTCTTCTTGGCAAGATCTTTTTTTTTTTTTTTCCCCTAAATTAACAAAGGACCAAATTCCTAAAGTCAAACCTAAATTCCTAAAATCAATATCTCTGCTGATATATTTTCCCTGCATGAGAGATCATGATCATGCCTAATCCAAAGGGCTTTGGAAGTGTTAATGAGACGTATGTAACTGGTAAAGTCATCTAGCCCTTCAGCTGTTTTGGGAAGGGAAACCCATTTCCATCCTAACCCTTACATGGATTAGAAACCTACTGCAAGACACCATAACCTTGATCCCTAAGATGCATTTTGACATTGACTTCAATGGAGGTTTCAAGATTAAGGTAGCATAATATAAGCCAAAAATGTCTGATTTATTTCAGGCAGGGAAGATCCTTATGACCAACTCCCAGAAGAACATGCCACAAATTCTGCATCGCAGTTAACTGAAGCTTAATCATAGCTGGCTCTCCTGACCTGCTCTCATGCACAGACATTTGCACTGCCTGAGATATTTCAGCTGACATGGGCAGTTGGAGGCCAGCACAGAGGAGTAGAAAGCATTTATAGCCAATATGTATTTTTAACATTTGCCTTTCACCTCCTCTTTCCCATATTTAAAATTTAGCACTCCTCAAGCTACCAGAGATTGGCAAAGATGTTGAAACTCCTCTAGTCCATACAGACTCATTCAGACATTAGATCCAAGATGGGACATTAAACAAAGGCTTTCAATAAAGGCTTCTGAAACTCTTTGCTGCCATGGATAATGCACCCCTTGCACAACAAATATTAGGATAAGAGAACACAGCCACAGAAATTGAGTCAGCCTAATTTAGACTAATGCTTTCAGGAAAGACACAGACCAATTAATTTGAGTCCAGAGGAAAAGCAACAAAAATGAGGGAAGGTTTAAACCCCATATATCATAAGGAAAGATTAAAAGGATGGGATTTGTTTAGTCTAGGAAGAAGAAAGCTGTGAGGAATCCTGATAGCAATCTCCAAACAGATGGACTCGTAGCTGCAGAATAAAGGAAATAACCAACCCGTGTGCTCTCTGGGACCCTGACAAGAGGCGATGGTGTCACACCAGCAGCGAGAGGGACATAAGCAAGGCAGTAGGAAAGACATTTCTAATGTTAGGCAGAGATAAGACCTGAAAGCATTTCCTAGGGAGGTTGTGGGACCTCTGTCAGTGGAGGTTTTTGAAAACATGTGAGGCAAACATATGTCAGGAGTGGTTAGTGTGAAGCCGATCCTGTCTGAGTGAGGAGATGGACTGGGTGACCTCCTGAGAGCTCTCCCAGCCCTGTTTTCAATTATTCTGTTCTTCCTTTCTTAAGATGTGTGGAGCAGTGTGTAATTGCTTGTCACAACCCATTTACAAAAAGCAATTGTCTTACAAAACTCCAGCAAGATGCCCCAAGATGGCACAATAGAAGAAAACACTAAATCTTACCTCCTCGCTGTATATGGCTGCCTTGACATTTCCAAGTCCATTGTCCACTCCTCTTTTTCCTCTGGCTGTCACATGTTGGTTCCAATAGCTCTAAGAGCACACTTGGAAACTCTGGTAAAAAAAAATAAGCCTCTGTCTCAATGAATAATTAACAACAAAACTCCAGATGTATTTAGAAATAGAAAACGTGGTTAACTAATGCTGTAATTGATGGTAAGACATGGAGAGGCACACAGACTACATATATCCTCCAGTCATGTACTGCTCACTAAGATAAGCAAATACACAAATGAATTCAGAAATTTGGTTTTGATGAGCCAAGAAACATCTCTGGAAAAAATATACATTTACTGCTCAAATATATACCCCTTCCAGCACAGTAATTCAGGTGCAAAACTGCAGGGATGTTTTTAAGGTTTTAGCTTCATTCTATTGGGAACCAAGTAGGTAAGAATCACTGCAGGGCTGAGCACAGATTTACATATCAAGTGTTTGCCTGAAGATCTTCCCCAGGCTTGGCTGGCCATGGCAGGGTGCAGCTAAGAACTCTTAAGTCTTGTTGCCATCACAAGGACTCATGAGCATGCTTTATCAGACATTTTATGCAGGCTTGGAGCACTCGTAAAAGGTCAGAAAAACAAAAACAAACAAACAAAAAAAAAACAACAAAGCACAACAAAAGCATTTTAGAATGTTTTTCATTACCTCCTCCTACCTTAAAAACATTCCTTTGTTTTTGACAGGCTGTGATGCTTTCAGAAACGTGCACAGTCTGAAGCTCTTCTTATTGCAGGTTCACTTTTTTTCTGTTGTTTGCTTTTTTTTTTTTCCTGAACATCATTTTTCAGAAATTCTGCTAGAAATTCAAAAAAAATTTGTTTACATGAGTAAGGTATAGTACAAAGCCTACTAAAACTATCAGAGACATCCATGCTGTCATTTGGGCTGACCATCTGAATAATGGCCCTTTTTGTTTCTCTTCTTCAGGGTTTTGATACTTCAAAACCCCATTTTTTTGGACATGTGATGAATCCAACAGACAGTATTCTCTCATTTATAAACTTTTGAAGATCAAAGACTGTTTCTTACCTTTGAAATTGTCCACTTCAAAATTTACCTTCCAATTTTTTTTTTTTTAACATCCTGGGTTTCTTTGCAACCTTTATAAGCTTCTATGCTTGACACACTTGAGCCCAGTTCCTACCTTTATCTTGTCACCAGATAAATGCAGCTGATGTCAGTCAGCAGTATGATGCTTCTCTTTGCTCAGTCACAAAAGTTGTTCCACTGGAAACCTGCAAAGCAAAAGCAGGAAAGAGGGAAAGGTTACAATAGGGTGCAGCACATAATGTTCTTCAGCATCTTCTCTGTATGTTGTTTTGCCTTTTCTCCTCTGTCAGAAGAGAGCTTTGAACTGTACCACAAAGTTTTCCAGAGAATCACATAATTATAGAATTACTTGGGTTGGAAGGGACCTCACAGATCATCCAGTTCCAACCCCCTGCTGTGGCAGGGTTGCCAACCACTAGATGAGGCACTGGATCAGGTTGCCCAGGGTCCCATCCAAGCTGGCCTTGAAAATCATCTTGATTTCAGGAGGGTGGAAACAAACAAGATGGAAACAGTTTTCCACATTGATTTTGACTCCAAATGAAAATCTTTTCTGAAATTCTGTCAGACCTGTTGCAGGATAACAGTTACTTGAGTGTATCTCTGGCCCAGCCCATCACAGTGGGACTCTTTTTCAGCCTGAGAGAGATCTTGCATGATGACAAAGCTTACATTTAGTCATCCATAACTTGAGGAAGCAGCCTGTGAAGCTCAGTGTGTTTCTTCTGTTTTAAGCAGACTGCTATTTAAACAATTTTATTTTTTAAATCACTATACATAAAGGATGATGGGAATATTTTAAAACAATGAAAGGATGTGTTTTGATGATAAGTCATCAGCTCTAGAGTCAAAAGTGCTGCTATCCAATAATCCTAATTACAAGTAATAACTTCTTTCTCCTTGGGATGGTGAATTTCAATTCACTGCAGATTCATAGCAATTTAACAATATGCCTGACAGCAGGAACAAGAGAAGAGCCACGTCTATTTAGACAGCATAAAGCAGCACTTGCTTAACAACAGTGTTTTGTGGCTGATGGAACCACTGGGAGAACTCGGCAGGGCTGTTTTTTTTTAGGGGAAAGACAGATATAAGTAAATTCATTTGGGCATGACAAGCCGATTATGAATGCAACAGCAACACAATTATCTGCCTTCAAAAGACAATACGGAAGACGCGCTTCTTCCATCATGTGAATCCATTAAAAATAAATAAACAAACCAAGTGAAACAGGCCTGAGGGCTGCAGTGTTATCCCACCGAGAGAGATCGCTTCCAGAGACCTTCTGCAAGGGCAGGAGTCCCTCAGCTCGGCTGCGGAGGACACAGCCCCGATGGCAGGAGGAGCTCTTCTCTGAATAATTAGGCAACAAAACCAACTGTGAAAAGCTTTGGGAGCCCGAATCCCTCGTCCCCATCCTTCACAGTAAATAGAGGGTAAGGGATCATGTTCGAAAGAAAACAACCTTCCCCTCCACTTCAGAGAACGGCAAAGGGAATAAGAGAGCATCTGAATTCTTATGGCTCTCATGGCACAGTGCTGCAGCAATGCGTGCCTGGAGGATTACAGGGCAGTAATTACTCTCTGCAATAGTTTCTCTTTGTGTTGCTTTGCTTTGAGGATGCTGTACAGATTGCTCTTCTCCCAGGTCCCAGAGCAAATTACCTCCCGCAGCCTGCGAGTCATTCCATCAGGCAGTTCTGGGATGTCCTGCTACAGAGACCCAGCACTGAGGTCTTTGAGGAGCATGAGGACATGCTACCTGCAAGCCCTTGTGCACGTGTCAAGATGTTTTTGCAATTCATGAATACAGAACTGCATTAAAATAATAATAGTAATAATAACTGTAAAAAAAAGGAAAAAAAAAAAAAAGCTTTACTGTTTCTTCTCAGTCAGGGAAAGAGGAAGGGAGGAAATATCCTCACCTACACATCCAGGATCTCCACTTTTCCCTGTTACTCCAGTTCCACCACCTCCCTATCTTGCTCTCAACTAAGGAGCACCAGCTGTCGTTTCAACCAGGATCACAACCGTGACACCAGGCACTGCAAGCAAAATACCAGACCATTATGGAAGCAGATTTGACAATGTTTTTTGCTCCAGTTTCTCCCTTGAAATTAAAGTCTCATGTGTCAGCATCACGCTGTTGGAGCCAGAAGCCCTCTCCTCCTCCAGCCTGGATTCTTCTGCTCCAAGCTGACAGTGCGGCTCGTTGCCATCCTGCACGTGGTTCCCAACAGCAGTAGAGCTGAATGCTGGAAGACTGTTGTTGTTTTTTTCCTACCCACAGTGCTAGACATCAAAGTGAATTCAATCCATAACTCAGAAGGTTCTTCCCACAGCTTCTTCTGGAAATATGACAGTTATAGAATTCCACTATTTCCTGTCGTGATTATTTCCTGTGATGACTTTGAAAGCACATTCAGAAAACACAGTTGGCTACATAATTTCTTTTATAAAACATGGAATAACCTTGTCTTTGGGGATGGGAGCACAGGGGTTTTTGAGGCAGGCTTTGGTCTAAGCAATAACAATATTTGAAAAAGAATCAAATTCTGCTTCCCACAGTATTTCATAGAATCACAGAACAGAATCATGGAATCATTAAGGTTGGAAGAAACCACTAAGATCATCTAGTCCAATCATCAACTCACTTCAATTTAGCCATACTTTCTTGGACTTTTTGCCATGAGGAAAGAGCACACAGGTGCCCCTACCATCGCACTTCCTTCCATGTAACACCAGTGATGTCTTACAAGAACCCCTCTTGAAACCAAAACAAAGATCTTCAAAGGGCAGCACAGGCACCACTCTTATAAATGGATAATAGTCCCTCCCTAGGAATGTAGTGAAAGCTTGCACAACTTTTTCAGATGCTTGACAAGACATCTTACTCTCGGAAGGCTGACATCAGAAAAGATGTGAGTAAAGGGATGTTTCTATGGCAGGCTTAGCCTGAGCTCTGCCCTACTCTTGTCCTCGCCCGTTTGACATAAAATATCTTTATACAAAGTCCTGCTGTGCCTCCAGCCCTTTCTGTCTGGTCTATTGAGGTGAGATGGATCCCAGGTTCTACTGGAGCACGAGCTGGAAACCAGAGTTCGACAAAAACTGCTGTCCTCAACTCTCAATTTTATTTTATTTTTAAAAACCACATTTTTATTGCCAAATGTGTTGAAACTTGGATAGGCCTAGCAAACTAAAAATATACAAAAATCATTCTGGTCAGTCACAGTACTTCATCTCCATGTTTTTGAAAAAAAAAAAAATCAGTAAAATATCAACATTTTATTTCTTTTTGCTTTTCATAAGGCATTTGGCAGCTTCAAAATATCACTTTTGAAATGTCAGTGTCTTTCTATCAGACCAATCTGCAAAGCTTATCCATTCCTGCCAGTACTTTTCACTTCAAATAATCAACATTTTCTGATGAAATAATATTTAAGTAAAAAAAAAAACAACCAACACATTGTACAAAACATATCTCTGGTCAGTTCTGATAACCTTGCAGATCACACTGATCACTCTGCAGTGAGGATGTCAGCTGCAGTTCCTTCCTACAGTTCCTCAGTTGATGGACATCAACTGTACTTTCAACCAGCTGAGAATGCTGGAAGATGACTTTGAGGCCCTTGCAGCCCTGATGAGTTCAAATAAAGTGCTCAATAAAATAAGCAAGCTAGTTATTTTTCACTTTTCTCTTCCACAATTTACAGAGCATAAAAAAAAGCTGGTTATTAAGATAGCAGCTTGAGAGATCAAGTGAAAACTTCTTTTATCATAAAGTTATAGAATTGATTGAGTTGGAAGGGACACTTAAAGGCCACCCAGTCCAACTCCCCTGCAGTGAGCAGGGACACCTACAGCTCCATGAGGTGCTCAGAGCCCCGTCCAGCCTGACCTTCAGTGTCTCCAAGGACTGGGCTTCTACACCTGTAGGCAACCCGTGCCAGTGCCTCACTATCCTTACTGTAAGAAACTTCTTCCTTACATCCAATCTAAATCTCCTCTCTCTCAGTTTGAAATCATCTCCCCTTGTCCTGTCACAACAGACCAATCATTTTTGAAACACATAGGCACTGGCAGGTATTAATCTTGGGTATTTTAACCGTCTTTCTGTTGAAAGACAAGGTTTTCTTAAAAAGAGTTTCTTCTGAAAAACAAGCTTTCATGTTCACCCTCCTGTACTCTCCACCTCACCCTGACCTGGACCTCAGGCAGCTCTGGCTCCCAGCCCATAGCATGTGGCTGAGCATGTTTCTGCTTTGGAGGGAGAGACATCCTCCTTGGCTGCTGCCAAAACTAAAAGCGGTTCCTGATACTAATTCAGGTTCTTGGAAGAGTGCATTATTCCCATTTGCAGCTGATTGTCAGGATGGAGATTCACGATGGAAAACGATTCCAAAAGCACACAAGAGGCACAGATGCGCAAATGTAGCAAGCCTATCTCTCTGGAAAAAATGCTGTTCTGACTCCAGACTATCCACAGACAGAAGATGACATCCTGAAAGCATCTTTACAAATGTTAACAGTGCAGGATAATCACTCAAGATGGATGGCAAACAGATCAGAAATCTGTACACCTGGAGAGCATCATCCAAGAGAGAATGCTCTACAGCACATGCACAGAGCACACACAGCGCTGGGCTCTCTGCACCTCCACCTTAAGCCTGACTATAAGTGTGTGTTTATCTTCAGGCATAAAGATTTTTAAAGTGCTTTCATTGGCTTGCACTGGGAGGTAGACGGCAGGATTAATAGCTGTTCTTCAAAGCTATAAACTGCATGGTGTGTTTTCTCAGACTTTGAGCCATGAGTTACTACTGTAATTAAATCCAGAAGGAGAGGCCATAATAACATTCTGACTTGATTTCCACTGGCAGAGCATTGATTAAGAGAGCTACATAATAAATGAGAGGCATTTCGGAATCGCTCTGTTGATGTTATCTGTAATTTTTTTATAATTAGAAAAGCCTAAAGAAAATTGTATATTATAATTACATGCATTATTAATCCTACTCTGTTGTAATATGAATTCATCTATGATTACAGGTTGCAGCAAGCTTTTGGTAATTTTTTTTAAGAGGTCCAGTGATTTGGCTTACAAAGCCCCTGTAAACAACAGATAAATTGGATGATATTATTTAAAACTAATGCAAAACCAGAGAAAGTTCAAGTTGATAAC